CAGATGAGGTCAATAATGAATTGAGATACAGTCGGTTTGCTTCACGGATGGATGAGCAACTTGCTCTGTATCCACATATGAAATTTAATGAGATTGATATGGTAAAGATTCGAAGACAATGTTTTTATTCTTTAGCCCAATTTTAACTATATCTGTAAAATCTCTGATTAAATTTCACAACAAATAGGTCTTCTTCCCCATAAATGCGTTTGAGCATTTCTACATTGTATGCTATGGGCTAAAGAATCCAAGTATGGAGCTGATTGACAATAGCAAAAACTGCCCAGACTACAAGGAAAAATACCAAGGTCGTCCTGAGGGTTTGGTATGTTTTCCCACCTTTTCTTTAAACATTAACTGGCAAAATACAGTAATAAGTGAATCCAGATTCAATATAGTGAATCTGGATTCGTCCAGATTCACTATAGTGAATCTGGGATTCACTAGAGTGAATCTGGGATTCACTAGAGTGAATCTGGGATTCACTAGAGTGAATCTGGGATTCACTAGAGTCAGATAATTCCAGATTAGCTAACTCTAGTGAATCTCGATCACTATAATTAGTGAATCTTAAAACTTTGATCTGTGTTCACATCACGTAATCACGATCCATATTAGCTAACTCTAGAGTCAGATAATTGATCACTAGAGTTAGTGAATCTGGATTCACATCTTACTATGAATCTCGATTCAATATAGCTAGTTAATCTGTGTTCACATCACATAATCACGATCCACTACCTATAGTTAATTCTAATGAATCCAGATTCACTAATATGAATCCAGATTCATTAGAGTAAGTCCAGGTGAACTAACTCTATTAAATTCTAGCGAGCTAGATCCAATGAATCGTGATTCAATGTCATTAATACTGTTTCCATATAAACAACCAAAACAAATTGTATATTACATTAAACATTACTGTATAATAATTTGGATTTATTATGTGACACTGATTAATTTTGATTAAACAGCACCAGAATTTTGTGAGATATTTGGCAGACAAAAAACATCACAAGGCGAGTGAAATAAATACATTAATGCCTGGCAGACTTGAGATGGAGTGGAGAACGGCTGAAAACAAATTTGATTGTGGTATTTTTGTCATGAGACATATGGAGACCTACATGGGCGGTGGTACAGCGAATTGGAACTCTGGTTTTCATAGAGAGGGTGTAAGTGTTTAAACTAATAATGTGTTGATAATTTACATT